GTGTCCTTCCCTCCATGCACTCCTGCCCCCTGAGCTGTCTCCCTGTGCATAAGCAGCTCTTCTTTCTCCCATGATTGTTCTCTCCAAGGAGTATATCTACCTCAGGTACATGTTCAACTTATATGCCTGTCTTTTGTTTGGCTGGAAGCCACAGGTGTGGATTCAATTCCAGACCTGAAGGGCAGCTAGGGGCCATAATCTCAGTGGTTCCACCAGGCTCTATTGGATCAACCAAGGTTGTATTCTTGATGGGAGGAGACGATCAGGCCTTTCTTCCTGCTGATGCTGTGTGGATTGAAAACGTTAACCTTTAGTTGGCAGCCAAGCGCTTAACAGTTGCTCTACCAGGGCTCCTAGCAGTGAAATCAATAGAACATGATTGATGATGAAGATAAAGTCTCGAGACACTGTTCTTAGAAAGGAACGAGTTTTAGAAAGGTTAAGAAGCAAATGAGGAGGAGGTCCTTTCCAAAGCTGAAGATGGTGGGGACACTTCGGGGTCTGATTTTGCCTTGTGGGTGTATTCTTGGGTATCCGTTAGAGTAAAGTTGTGGGTTCCCTTGGCATGCAGTTGAGGTCTTGAGAGAGGGCCTCTAACTCTCTGCTTTCTACCCCTCACACCTGGAGTAGGAGACCAGGCTATCTCATTGGCTGTTTACAATTTCAAAATCCTGTGAAAAAGTCACCAAGATGTGAGTAGGTGGTTGCTGTGCCCAAGTCTGACAACTCCCTGGAAGGAATCCTTGAGCCACTGGACCTTAAAAACTAACAGAGAAAAGAAGGGATGGGGCAGCACAGAGGTGCAGTTGGAAAATTCTCCTTTCTGAAATCTACAGTACCCTGTGGATTGTTTCCCTTATCCTGTGAACTGGTTCCTGAACCATGAAAACATACACATTCTGTATTGTGTTTTCCCTCATTTTTAGGTAAGTACTCAAGTTGTTTGGCAGAAAGTCTCTAAATTGTAGTTTTGGTAGATATCTCCATCTGCTCACTGCCATCTTTTCAGTAATGAAAAGGAGCCCTGGTGGCAGGGGGTTAGAAAGGATGGATTACTGATGTCTTAATGTATTCAGTGATCACGGACCCCACTCTAGGAGTACCATGAAGGGC